GCGCGCCCGGCCGCCCTCGACTGCCCCGCGCCGCCCGCTCGCTCTGCCGACCTACGAGCACGCCCTCCGGGAGCGATGCATTTTCCGGAGCAGCACCTCCCCGGACACGCAGCTCCCCCCTGGCCCCGGCGCCCACGGCCCTGCTTCCCGCCCCGGCGAGAGCGCGCCGACCCGTGGACGTCAGGCTCAGGGTCGCCGGGTCTGGACGCCGGGTCGCGGCTCATTCCGCCGCGCGCGCGCGGGGGGTGTCCGCGCAGAGCGATCGCCGTGCCGCGCAGCACCTGGGCGCCGTGGCGAAGCCTTGCCCTTGCGCACACGACGTGTTTAGGAGCCTTTTCCTTCCACTGATTTTTTCCCTGACGTGTACTTCCTCGAGCGATCCAGGCGCGAGCCGCGCGCAGTGTATTTGGACCGCTAAAGGCCTTCCTGGAGTCGCCACAGCGCTTTAACAGGCCCAGCCGGGTGCACGTGTGTGCGTGGACCAGGGGAAACTGACGATCCCGAGAAGGCCCGCGCGGGGAACCCGCCTCCCGCCCCATCGCCTCACGTGGCCCCTAGGAGGTGCTGGTGGAGCGCGCTCGCTCGGGTCTTGCTTCCTTGCACTGAACCCCGCGTCCCCAAGCCTGCCACCCTTCGGAGCGCTGTGCCAGAGGCTTAAACTAAAAGGGCGTGCATGGGGTCGCGCGCGCGGCGTGACTGCTCTGGCACCCGATGGCGGTGTTGTTGCGTTTCCCTTGTCGTGCACCAAGCCGCACCCAGGGGAGGTCTACGTGGACGTTTACGAAGTCATGCATGACACAGCCGGAATTCGCTCTGTAAAATAGAGGGATGTATCCGAACACGGGTTGCAGCCCAGCTCGAAAGGAACCTAGAGACGAATCATACGTTAGCCAAAGGATAGAAAGCGAGTTGACAGCTCACTGCACTTCAGTAGGCATCTCCTGAAATGCGCTTCCTCCTGGATTTCTTCCAAGAGACAGACCAGAGGTCTAATTAATCCCTTCAAACGTATTAAACCTAAATGGAAAAAGGATATCAATCGTTTATATAGTTCCTCTTCTTTAGTACGGTTTAATTTGGGCATCTGTAGATGGCTAAGAAGTTTTCGAACCGTGTGAATTCCGAGAGGCACCACTTTTTTCTTGTTTGTGTGCAGGTAGTGAGCTCTATTTGAAGACCACCCAGAAAGGGATGTCATTTTTCTGGAACTAGGATTGCAATTGTTTCGCTTTCATAGTCCACTCTAAATAAAATTAAGACACCATAGATAGGTTCATAGGAAAGGAGAATCTTTACAGAAATGAGCACAAAGTTGTAAGATTCTGGTTAGCTGTATAAATTTATCTATGGGATGTAAGTGTAGGGGCACATAAGAAATGTCTCCCGTTCTGTCTCACCAGCTATCAGCACTTCCACTGCCACTTCGTCCGTCCGGGGGCTGAAGGACGTGTAGCAGGGCTTATTTTGTGGAGGAGGAGGCTCAAGACTAGTTAATGATTTTTGTAACAGCTTTCCAATCTGAATAGAATCTCCACCTTGATTATTATTACCTTAATGGCTAAATAAGGAAACATGAAGGGTTAAATTTTGCGGCGGAAACTTTGTAAATGCACGATAGCATTGAATAACTCCACTGCTTCATGTTAAAAAGAGAAAAAGATAAATGTGCATTTTCATTAATAAATGACTTCTTACCAGATTTCCCTAATAGGGAAATTCTAGTGTGCTAGTGCTTTCAGTGCTTGGCTAAATACACCCTTTGGAGTGACGCGTGATACAGATTTCTCTCTTCAGAGTCTATCTTTTTTGGCTGAGTCAGGCCTTATTTAGCAAAAATCCCCATTAGTCTTGGACACCGTTGCAGTTGGGTGTTGGAATCCATCTGTGGATTAAATTTTTCCAAGGAAATGACAGTTATGCTCTTACTGATTCTCTCCACAGTAACCACCTATAATATCAGAGCCAAATATTAGTCACAATCTAGATTTGCAGTCGGATTGTGAATAGTTGTGTGACGCAGAGGGTGATTGTTTCCCTAGGAGCACATATCTTTTTTTGTGCTTACATGAAGATCTCCAACAATTAGATGTATTGTCAGACTTTTGTTAACCATTGATGCACAGGCCCACTTCGCAATGGTAAGAGATGCTTCTGCCATTTGTATCTACTGAGTATTGAAAACCACTTGCAAATCTTCCAAGTAATAATCGGTAGCAATGGATGATAAATAAGTCACTGTGAGATTGGCTTGAAATGTTGACAGGTTGAGTTTGCAGTCTGCTGCTATGAGGACAAGCTGCCGACTATTGTATTTTCAGATACCGAATGTAATTCTGTCTGTTGGGAAACAACTTTGCCTTTAGAATTCTGCAATTTCACTTACACATTGGTAATATTTAGTCTTCATATTAAATTTGATGAACTACTTGTTGAATGACTACTTTGTACTTTGGTTCTATTTACCAAGTTACCTGAGAGACAAAAGAGTCCTGTGAGGAGCAGTTCCTGTCCTTAGGAGTTTAAAATTTCCAATTGAGAAGACAATACACAAATAAAGCATTTAAATGGTCAAATGAAAATTTAAGGCAGCCTATGATTAAGTGCTAAAATGGATTGAGCAATCATTGTAAAATATAATCCCAGAGAGATTCTAAGGAGTAGAATGGAGAAGGAAATATACGGAGGTCTTTATGTTAGAAGATTTAAGAAGATGGCAGGATATATCATGATATGACATATCACCCTGTGTAGTGGTTTGTAGGATGCTGGAAACATAGCAGAAGGCAGGGTTCACTCAATTAACTTCCTAAGTGTTCACTATGCCCCAGATCTTTCAAAATACATATAATCGAGTATATAAATTACAAGTTACGTCTAAGAATAAATGTCAGAGAAGCAATGAAATGAAGGAAAGCACCAGTACTTTTTAGTATATGTCTTTTGAACAATGACTCAGTATTGTAACAAACATAAGCTCTTTCACTTTTATCTGCAATACAGCAAGCCTAGCAGGACACAGTAGAGCCATTTCCCCTATATTAAATGACACCAGAGTAAGCGTATTCAAGCTTTTCTGCTTGTTTTTCCTTTTTCCCCATCAATGTGAGCCTTCAATTCTCATTTTTGCTTCTAACAATGTGCCTTTAATCTGTCAGGCTGTCACCATGCTCTGTCTAACTTGTTGATGCTAGTCTTCACTGGGCTGAGAAATTATGTAACCAAGGTTATTAAAGTAAAGTAAAAGTAAATATGATCTAACACATCTAAGGAGATATTTTTGAAATAGTATGAACAGATGTTGAATTTGGAATTACTTTCTCTTGGTCAGTTTCTTTTTGGGGTAAAAAAGCTCCAAGGGTTCAATTTATGGTATCTATTTTAGCTTCTCGCAGCATTTAAAATGGCTTAGTCCTTGTAATTTACTGTTATGAATAGGTGAGGAAGACCTCTGGATAACTGTTGTGTGTCTGCAACTATTTATATGTTTATATGTGTAACAAAATCATATACTCATTTTTGAGAAAACGTTTGAATGCTTACAGTGTCCATTTTTTATTAAGATTCATTTTCTATCAAATATGTTAAAACCAGCACCAATAAGTAGGACTGTTCTTTAAGAAGCTTACACTTCCATACCAGCCAGGTTATTATTTAGTAAATTACCTCTTCTGTCATGCTCTGGAAGACTTCATTTATCTCACATGAGACAATTACACTCTGAAAATACCATCTTCATTTTAGGGCCAGACCCTGCATTACTGTGTTTCTTAACGGTGATTACAATGATCATTTCATCTGTGTGAATGCCCTGGCGCATTAACTCTCTCAAAAGCCACGAGCCTACAGCCTCGGTTCATGCTCTGTAACCATGGACGGCAGCTTCTAGCCAGGTTGCCCCGCCATAAACCTAGGTGATCAGTTGGAAGAGTTGCCAGCTGAGAAAATACCAGTTATTATGCACAGACTCATCACTACCACTGGGAAAGGTAAGCCTTATTACTAGAGACTCTACAGTAATAAATACCCTCATTTAATAATAGTGGTAGAATGATAATAAGACTAACAATAAGCCAGTCCGTATATATTGAGGGTTTCTCACTGCTCTTATGCTTTACAGGACATGCTACCCTGCTGTTCTGTGTCGCCCGTACATTTGTATGGGAAAATAATGAAAGAGGGTGGATAGGAAGGAAGGAGGAAGGAGAGGAGACAGGAAAATATGTTTTGGAAATGATTGGTTCTGAAGGAGACAAACACCTTCAGTAGCCACTAGGGAAGGTGAGAAGTGCTTTTCAGTAGTAAGAGCTGTCACAATTAGCAAACTCACTCCAGTGTTGAAAACACCCAAAAGAATGTCTCTTTGCTTTAATACCTCTTTGGAAGACCATGAGACTCATGCAACTTGATTTTTTTTACAAAAACAAAGCAAGAACTTCAGACAGCCAAGTTTAGTTACTATCATCGATATTTATGGAATATACTACAAGCAACAAGAAAATGCAGCAGTTATTTTATGTATTTATTTCTAAACTATGTATGTCCCATGTGCACATTAGGAGCTTGTGACTTTTTTTTGAGACAGTGTAGTTTAAGTCTTTAAAAAAAATTAAT